AATATTCCAACAGAAATCACGATTATTACTGAGCCTTGGTTCAGACCCGGGGTCTGACCCGGGGTCTGAACCAAGGTCTCCGTTTGCATAAATAAGGCAGATATTTTATCCATAACTCCGATCACCTCAGAACTTACAGTTTCTGGCCGGAGTCCGGTAACAGATAACGGAAAACGCTTCCAGACTTACTGGACCAAGTTGAGAGTTTCAGCCGAGTCCAGGATCACGAACACGGTGTGCGGCTGAGGAACCGAGGCCTCCTGATGGTTCGGCTCGGTTCGGCTCCAGTTCTGCTCTCCGGTGCGGACCTGATCCGAACCGACGTCTGACATTTCTTCAGAGAGGCGCAAAGGAGCGAGATGTTCCTGCGGGCCCCGGGATGAAATGAGGCGCTGCAGCGGGGAGCCTCACAGCGGGGAGCCTCACAGCGGGGAGCTGAGACTAAGACAGAGGAGGAAATCTGGGCCTGACACCGAACCACACAGAGCTGCAACACACAGATCAGACAGGCACCGTCTGCTGATCTAGCATCTCTGTTTCTTTAATTTGTTGGACTTCATTTGTTACATCTACAATATTTCCCCTAAACATTAAGATTTCCCCCTGAATAAATACAACTACCACTGCTGTTATTCTTAAAGTCATATTCAGAAAACTGGAATATGCCTTCTGATGAGCTTGTTTGCCAGAGTATATTTTGAAAAATAAAGTTTTAAGCAGTTATTAAACATAGTTTTCATTAAGTATCAATTTCTGCATTGAAAATATTTCTATCATCGGTTTAATATTTTAATTAATTTCATTAACTGTACAAATAAATAACATAATTAACAGAAACAAAGGCTTTCAAATAACCACCTGGATCAGAAATAAATGTAAAATAAATGAGCCACACGAAAAACTAAACTGATTAAATAAATTGGTAAATCTGTTTTGATAGCTTTTTTATTCAGTTTATCGTTTTATATGACAAAACGCAAATTTAGCTGTTCTTATTTTTATAATTCAACAAGCTGAGTCTCTATAGGAGAGAAACATCGGAAATTAAATAAATCTTATTTTTAAAATGAGCATTCATCCAAAGAACACAATGTCGACTTTCATATTTTATTGTCATTATAAAAATGTGTCCAAAAAAATTTTTATTGCTATTTTGATGAACGCAACATTACCTGAGATTTCATTTGATTTTACAAATGCATCGAATCTGAATCTTTTTTCTAGGTGTTGTGTTTCTATGTTTCAGTGGGCGGGCTCAATGCCCGCCACTGAGCTCCCTTTAACCAATCAGCTGCTTCTTTCTTTTAGGAGTTTCCTGACAGCCAATCAGTTTCTCACAGGCCGCCATGTTGTTTGTTTTGTCAAAGATGTTAGGAAAAGAGGTGGCGAGGGCGGTGGTGTGCTGGGATGGGGGTGAGGGAGCGTTTGTGACGGGGAATTCCCAGGTAAAGTCATCCTCCTGAGCCCTGATTGGCTCAGCTGAGCCGTCACGTTCTGCCCAATCTGGAGAGTCCAAATGAAGCTGAGGTTGTGACGTAATCACACAGCTGACTCTGAAAATAAGAGCCGCTGATGACAATTTTTGATCTGTAAATCAGAAAAACATAAAAGAGTTCAATGAGAGCAGAACGTTCTGCGTTCAGGAAAAACATCTGGATCATCAATGACATTGTGTTCATTGTGTTCCCGCGATTGACTCAAACAGTTCCTGCTGTAATTAGGGTAAAACTGGTGGAGAGATGAACACCTGCTGGAGCCGCTTTTAGCTGCAGACGTCATAGGAAAAATGACATGAATAATTAAATCTGTTCCTGAAAACGTCACAGGAACAGATTCCTGCTGACTTCAGTTGTACCTCAGAATAACGCCGCCAGGTGGCGCCGTCGCTTCTCCCAAGAAGAGCAGACAACAGAAATCCGTTAAGCCATTTCATCACTTTTATTTTTTTCATTACAACCTCATTTACTTTATTTTACAGAGGTGCATGATGGGTAATAGACAGCGACAGCATGGAAGGCAGTGGCCGGCCACTAACCAAAAACCGTCCATCAATCAATCAATCAATCAATCAATCAATCAATCAATCAATCAATCAATCAATCAATCAATCAATCAATCAATGTGACAATAACAAGAAATTTTAAATTCAGCAGCTGCATAAGTTTTGGTATAAAGCTTATGCAGCTGTTGTTGTTGTCATGGTAACAGGAATCCAGACAGGTGTGGTTGCCATGGTAAACATGGACACGCAAAACTCCCTGGTCCTCTAAGATGTTACCATGGCAACTTGTCAGGAAATGAACAGAAACAGACGGGGGGGGGGGGGGGGATTATTGATTATTGACTGAAAATAAAGTTCATTGAGCTTCGACTGAAACCGACTGGAAATACCTTGATGTAACCAGTTAGAACTGGTTTCAACAGGACATACCTGGCTGTAACTGGTTGTAACTGGTTGTAACTGGTTTCACCCTCACCATGACAGTTCTGAATGTCTATAACCAGTTAGTCAAATATAAGTAACTGTCAGGAACTATCCTTTACCAGTTCTGACCAGTTCTAACAGGTTAACCAAAGCCTAGCTAGGGATACTTGACTAGTTGTTCAAATTTGTCAGGATGGTTGGAATTAAACATTGATTAGAACAACGTGTCAAAATAATCTGGGCCAGTCAAACCAGTAGCTATCAGTAAGCAGAAATTGTCAAAACCTTTAGCAATCAAAGCCAAAGAATGAGTGAAAACCTATAAGAACCAGTTACAACTGATGTAAACTGGTCCAAACTGATCCAGCTAGAATTTTTACTGCTAAAATTAAAACTGGCAGGAACTGGTGAAATCCTGGAAGAACCAGTTGGAACCAGTTAAAGTTGTAACACCAGTCTGAACCAGATACAACCGGTTTGAATTGGTAACAACCTGCAAGAACTAGTTGAGAAGAGAGAAGAAAATTCTGTAAGAACCAGATACTAGCAGTTAAAACTGGAAAGAACAAGTGAAAATTTATGAGAACTACTTAAAACTGCTAGCACCAGTCAAAACCAATTAGAACCAGTTGAAATTGGTCAAACCAGTGAGAACCGGTGGACATCAGTCAAACTAAAGAGACTGATTTAGAACCAATAAGATCAATCCCAAACCAGTGGGATCCATTGAGAACCAGTTAGAACTCTGCTAACAGGAAGGCTTCAGTCACACTGACAGAAACAGAACAAAACAGATCAACTGAAACAAAGACGCTAACAGGCGCCGAAAGACCCGGTGGCCATTTCCTTCCATCCTCACCGCTCCACATGCTAAACACACGCTAACAACAAATGGTGACTGCCAAACAACCAATCAGAGAGCCAGAAATCCAGAACCTAAAGCAAGAACCTGTCCTGTTCTGATGTGTTAGCATAGCTTAGCACAGTCACTGGAAGCAGAGGGAAACTGCTAACATCAAAGACCAGGAACGTTCAGTCAGCAGGTGGCACTGTGACAACCACAACCACAAGAACATGGGAACCTTGGCAATTCTTCTTGTTCATCATAGCAGCGGCCATATTTATCTCTACAGACCGAAGCCTCAAACATGTCAGAGGTTCAGATGGACTCTGAAGAGTCAAAGGACATAAAAATCTACTCAACTTTGATGGTTCCAGGAACCGGCCTTCAGAAACCAGAGAAGAGGAGGTTCAGGTGTGGCAGTGAAAACAGAAAGGATTCAGGATTCAGACATTTAGAATACAGAAGTTAAGGCAAATCATGAACCTGGATGTTTCAAACATGTTTTTTTCTGTTTCAGAATGTAAACTGGAGCCTGGCACACCTGGTGCACCTGGTGCACCTGGAACTCCAGGTGCACCAGGTGATCGAACAGGTTCCCTCAGCTTCCACTGCAGCGCCCAGCGTCACTAACACGTCAGATCTCTCTTTAAACTTTGCCAGTCTGAACTTCCTGTGTAACTCTGATTGGAGGAACAACTAAGAGTTGACCTTTAACCTTTACATAGTCACATGAGCATTAGGTCAAAATAATAAATTATATTTACAAAAGTTTCTCCATTAAGCAGAATGAACACTGCCAGACTTATGGACACAGAGAACCCAAAGCAGGAATTCACTGGGAACCAACTGGGAACCAACTGGGAACCCAGAGAGCATCTGTGGTTCAAAGCTTGAGAACAACAAGAATATTTAGAATTTTTTAGATGTAAAATTTCAAAAAACTTTCTGGAAAACAAGTGAAAAAGAGACAGATAAATTGAGAAAGAGAGAGAGAGATGGAGCCAGAACCAGTCCAAACAGAGTCGGCTCCATCTAAACGCTGGAAGCATCTTAAACCAGTCAAAGACTCCATCCAGTCTGTATAGAACTTCCAGAGATTAGACATCACAAGCCCGTCATCGTGATCATCATCATCATCATGATAATCATCATTACCCATCATCATCATCATCCTCGTCATCATCATCATCATCATGATAATCATCATTACCATCATCATCATCCTCGTCATCATCATCATCATGATAATCATCATTACCATCATCATCATCATCCTCGTCATCATCATCATGATAATCATCATTACCATCATCATCATCATCCTCGTCATCATCATCATCATCATCATGATAATCATCATTACCATCATCATCATCATCCTCGTCATCATCATCATCATCATCATGATAATCATCATCACCATCATCATCCTCGTCATCATCATCATCATGATAATCATCATTACCATCATCATCCTTATCATCATCATCATCATCATGATAATCATCATTACCATCATCATCATCATCCTCGTCATCATCATCATCATCATGATAATCATCATTACCATCATCATCATCATCCTCGTCATCATCATCATCATCATGATAATCATCATTACCATCATCATCCTCGTCATCATCATCCTTATCAACATCATGATAATCATCATTACCATCATCACCATCATCATCCTCGTCATCATCATCATCATCATCATGATAATCATCATTACCATCATCATCCTTATCATCATCATCATCATGATAATCATTACCATCATCATCATCATCCTCGTCATCATCATCATCCTCCTTATCATCACCATCATCATCCTCGTCATCATCATCATCATCCTCATCATCATCATCATCGTTCCTCCATCAGGTTCTTCTGTCAGGAAACGGCCAAAGACTGAATCCTGCCAGTGAATAACCAATCTCTGCTCTGATTGGTCAGTGTTCCTGCCAATCAGCTGCTCCAAAAGACTGGAGATGACATCATGTCTTACATCATTACTCTGATCATTAAAACCAAATAAAACAAAGTTTTTATAAAATCACATAAAAAGTTGATATTTCCTTAATTTCTAAAGATTTCTCCAACTCATAAAACTCAGTTTATAAATTACCTTTCATCTCCAACATTAAATATTAAACAGTTCCACGTTTCATTTTGTCATTTTTTGAAGAAAAAGAAGTAAATCAGAGATCTGCTGTAAACAAAAAGAAATAAATTCAGAGAACAGGAACCCTGCTGTGCCCAACCTCACCAGCAGGGGGAGAGGATGCTGGGAAATGTAGTTCTCCTCCATGGTTCCGGTTCTGAAGAACCTCCTGCCAGTCCAGTGGGATGGATCGGTTCTAGCCTGTGAGGTGGAGGAATCTGTGGTTCTGGTCAGGTTCTGGTTCCCTGCTGTTTGTTGGACCAGACCTTCAGATCTTCGGATCCTCAGGAATGTGAGACAGAAGCTGCTTAGCAGAACTCTGGGCCCGTTTTGTGCTTTTTAGGTTGGTACTGCAGGAAGTTCTGTGAAGGTGTGAAAACTTTCTGGGATGAGACCGGACCGGCGCGGTCTCACCAGCCTGACCTTCGGTGACCCAGTTCTCCCAGGATCCGATCCGATCCAGTCTGGATCTGGACCTCCAGCAGAAAGTCATACAGAACATAGAGGAAGAGGAGCAGCTTCCTCTAAAGAGGACGATCTGGGTCGGATCCGGAGACTCTGGAGCGGACTCTTCTGTGTGCTTTGGGGTTCCGGTTCTTGGGGTCGGGTCCAAAGAAGCGCAGAACTTCACCGGGTCGTCTGGGACTGTTTCTGATCTTGATGTGTTGCTTTTCTGGACTATGCTGGCCAGAACCAGAACAAGATGTGGTCCGGATCAGAACCAGAACCGGTCCGGATGAGTTCTGGTTCCTGTGGTTCTAGTGCTTTCGATCTGATCTTATTTTCTAGCATTATATTCATGTTTCTGGATTGGCTGCTGGTTTGTGTTCAGGTTCTGAATTTGTTCTGGTTCTGATCTTCACTTTTTGTTTCAGTAAAATGATGTGTTTATTAGTTACAGATTATTTATGGATTTATTTTGGATGAAATGTGAATTATCGAGAGATTTCTCCTGTTTTGTTTCTGGGTTTGTTGTAGGTCAGTTGTGGTTTGTTTTGGGTAAATTATAGATTATTTCTATTTGTTCTGGTTGACCTGGTCTGTTTGGGAACTTAGTTCTGGATTAACTCGGGTTTGGTTCTGGATTAACTCGGGTTTGGTTCTGGATTAACTCGGGTTTGGTTCTGGATTAACTCGGGTTTGGTTCTGGATTAACTCGGGTTTGGTTCTGGCTGTGTTTTTTCTTCGGTCCAACCAGGACATGTTTTCCAGATTCGGCCTCATCTTCATCTTCACTCCAGTGAAATCAGGTGTTTTCTCCTTCCGCCTCGCCATCGAGCTCCTCCCCTTCCTCCTCCACGCTCTCCACGATTGGCAGATGGATGAGAGGCTCCTCCCCCCTGCCGGCCCTGGACAGGACATCCATCCACCTGCGCTGTAGCTCCTCCCCTTCTGCACTGAAGTAGAGAGTCAGGTGACTCTGGGAGATCTTGAAGGCGTGGCGTCGCTCCAGGCGGTCACATGACTCCGGCGGCGAGACCTCGAAGCCAATCAGAGGGATGCTGCGCTGTGCCTTCACATCCTGCAGAGAACAACCATACACTTCATTATGCTGACTCTTTCCCAGGTGCATTGTGGGTATTTACCCTCCACTTTGAAACAGCGTATGTCTCTGTTTCCTGACTGGCTCAACTACACCTGGCTGCAGCAACAGGAAGGGGCGGGGCGGGCCGCTGTCATTCTCAGACCTGATATGGAAACTGGACCATTGCACTCCGGAAGTGAAGGGGGCGCTATATTATCCATGTTTTTATTTTCTTTGTGATATATTTTCACCTTTAGGAAGGATTTTCACTCTCAGTTTGTGTTTGATCTTTTCTCTTTTATTTACAGTTTTAACAGATTCTGTCACTTCCTGTGTTCTTCTAAATCTGCTCCTCATCTTTTCGGGCCTGATGCTGCCTCTAGTGGTGGGGTGGTAACACGACTAATATCACTACATTACTAGAATAGCACAAAGTCTTTATAATTTACCATTAATTTCAGCATAACTGGAACCATAAATACGGTGGCCCTGAGGTGCAAAACACTACAACATTAACAAAAACACAACAACATTAACGAAAACACAACAACATTAACAAAAACACAACAACATTAACGAAAACACAACAACATTAACGAAAACACGACAACATTAACGAAAACACGACAACATTAACGAAAACACAACAACATTAACGAAAACACAACAACATTAACAAAAACACAACAACATTAACAAAAACACAACAACATTAACGAAAGCACTACAACATTAAGGAAAACACAACGGAAGAGGTAGGTCCCAGTGGGAGACCTAAGAAGTCGCTGATTGGACGACAGGTCGTTTTACTTTTGAACCGGAAGTTATGCTGGAGTGCTTCGTTTGAATGAGAACCTAAGGAAGCGGGAATACAGTCACTTCGCCATGTATTGCCCGAACTGTGGGAAGGAGGTGGTTGAGCCGTCACCAAATTTTTGCAGTAATTGTGGCAAGAGGCTTCAAGAAACTTGTATGGAGGATACTCCACAATGTTCAAGTAAGTTAAAAAGTATAAAGGAAGATTCATATTTCTTATGGATGTAGTAACTTGCTAACGCTAGTGGTCTCCAGACCGTGTCCACTGTCATCTAGTTGTTCATTATAAATGCAATTAAAAGTACACAAAGTCGCTATAATACAGCAGAATTGTATTAGCTATATATCGTAAGGTCCGTTACAGCCTTAGGCACTACTTTTTTAGGATAATTGGTGTCGTTCTGGTTCTGCTGCACTGCGATCAGGCTAGCCGCCTTTTTGGAAGCGAACTCGCACTTAATTTATACTTGTGGTAGCTTTACTTCAGTTCGTAATACATATTGTCTGTTTGCATGAATGTGATGTGCGACATTTTTTCTTTGCTTTACTTCTAGCACAACAGACTGTCCCATCCTGCCGTACACCAGCCCTCAGCACCTTCCTTGAATAGAAAAATGAGGAGCGACCAAAGTATTCTCTTGGGAGAAAGGGGTTAAAACAAAAGGTAGAAATGAAAGTTCGGGTAGGTGCTAAATTGGGTTCCCCTGTGTCGGGAGCGATCATTACAGCCAGAGAGACGAATGAGGCGGATCTGACCATTTTCACGTCGCTTCTGATCGATTTCTCGGTAAAACAACTCATATAATCATGTGAAGGTTGTAACATTGAGTTTAATTGGCAGCTGTTGTTTAAAAAATTGTATAATAAATAAAATAAACAAGATCTTCTGATGCTGTTTTTTGTTATTTTATACGCCAAGAGAATCGCTCTTTTCCAACGTTTCTCACGTAAGCCTGGCAGAAATAAGTCAGGCACCAAACACAGTTTTCCCAACACGTAGTGTGTATGTAAAGATTTTTGAGAATTTGGAAACAGTTGTTCTTTATTCCCCAAGGTTCGGTAAGGGTAGGAAAGAATGGAGGAAATTATAATCTGGTCCCCCTCCATAATATGGGAACAACTTAATTTACCAGCAAGATTTTTTTCTCTGTTTATTCCTCTCATCATCAACAATAAATCCTGTGATTTTGGTAGAATTTGCTCCTTGTTTGCCAGAGTTATGAGGGGAAAGCCATATATTTTAGGTGACTAAAATAATCTGTTCCCCCTTCAAAACATGGGGACTATTTACCAACAAGTCTTCAACTGTGCTTATTCATCTCTTCATCAACAACAAATTATTTGAAAACATTTCCTCTTTATTTGCCAGAGATATGAGGGGGAACCATATATTTTAGCCACCTGAAATAATGTGTCCCTTCCAAAACATGGGAACCAATTAATTTACCAGGAAAATGTTCTCTTCATTTCTCAAAGGTAAGTGGCCTTGGGATTTAAACTATCTTTCCACAGCTGTCTTATATCACATTATCCTTCTCGAAAAACTATCAATGCACCCTGAGATGGCCAAGCCGAATGGCTTCAGTTTTGTCGTAGCCATCTACATGCTATATGTAATTGGGCCCCGTGGAGGGATACGTGCGTCTTGTAAACCTGCGAGTTCTCAGAGCGATGCCTTGAGGATTCAGCTGCCTCAGCAGTCTCATTACAACATCACGTTTGACACGCAGGTTGTGTTTTAGTTTGAGAACTTGCCACATGGTCCGATAGCCAAATAATTGCCCTGGTCCTCTAAGCTTGGACATAATGGCACGTCTCACTTCAGGAAGTGGAGAGTAGTTGCCTCTTCAATGCAGCCCTGCTACTTTCAAATGAGTCTTTACTGAACGCATGCTAACCGACACTTCGTGGTTGGTCTGGAGCATGTCCAGTATTATCACCAGTATCAGTATGTCCTGACTCAAAATATTTACGAATAACAGTACTAAGGTTTGGATCACTGAGAACATTCTTGTTTTCAGCAATCAAGTTAAAGCCAGAAGAACTTCCGGTTCAAAAGTAAAACGACCTGTCGTCCAATCAGCGACTTCTTAGGTCTCCCACTGGGACCTACCTCTTCCGTTGTGTTTTCCTTAATGTTGTTGTATTTTTGTTAATGTTGTCGTGTTTTCATTAATGTTGTTGTGTTTTCGTTAATGTTGTTGTATTTTCGTTAATGTTGTTGTGTTTTCGTTAATGTTGTCGTGTTTTCATTAATGTTGTCGTGTTTTCGTTAATGTTGTTGTGTTTTCATTAATGTTGTTGTGTTTTCGTTAATGTTGTCGTGTTTTCATTAATGTTGTCGTGTTTTCGTTAATGTTGTCGTGTTTTCGTTAATGTTGTTGTGTTTTCGTTAATGTTGTTGTGTTTTCATTAATGTTGTCGTGTTTTCGTTAATGTTGTCGTGTTTTCATTAATGTTGTCGTGTTTTCGTTAATGTTGTTGTGTTTTCGTTAATGTTGTCGTGTTTTCATTAATGTTGTCGTGTTTTCGTTAATGTTGTCGTGTTTTCATTAATGTTGTTGTGTTTTCGTTAATGTTGTCGTGTTTTCGTTAATGTTGTTGTGTTTTCGTTAATGTTGTTGTGTTTTCATTAATGTTGTCGTGTTTTCATTAATGTTGTTGTGTTTTCGTTAATGTTGTCGTGTTTTCATTAATGTTGTTGTGTTTTCGTTAATGTTGTTGTGTTTTCATTAATGTTGTTGTGTTTTCGTTAATGTTGTCGTGTTTTCATTAATGTTGTCGTGTTTTCGTTAATGTTGTCGTGTTTTCGTTAATGTTGTTGTGTTTTCGTTAATGTTGTTGTGTTTTCATTAATGTTGTTGTGTTTTCGTTAATGTTGTTGTGTTTTCATTAATGTTGTTGTGTTTTCATTAATGTTGTTGTGTTTTCATTAATGTTGTTGTGTTTTCATTAATGTTGTTGTGTTTTCGTTAATGTTGTTGTGTTTTCATTAATGTTGTTGTGTTTTCATTAATGTTGTTGTGTTTTCGTTAATGTTGTTGTGTTTTCGTTAATGTTGTTGTGTTTTTGTTAATGTTGTCGTGTTTTTGTTAATGTTGTAGTGTTTTCGTTAATGTTGTAGTGTTTTGCACCTCAGGGCCACCGTACATAAAAGATCAATTATAAAACATTTTTCATTTCCTTAAGGATGTAGAGCTGATTAAATGACATAAACAATATCTTTATACATTATAGATAATATCTATATATCTCCATAAATTATAGAAGGAACAAAAGAAATAATGAGACATGAAAAACAACATGATCAACTAGAATAAAAATATTATTTGCAATGTATACATAATAAATTTAAGTGAGCAAAAGTCAATAAACAAATGAATCAGGTTCAGAAGAATAACAACCAGGTTGTTAAACAGATACAAGCTAAAATTCACATTTTTGTTTTTATGGTGCCATGTATATTATTCTGAGAAACGTTTAGTTGGTAGAGTCGAAAATATAGGAAAAAATAAGATGAACCTATTTAGTTTATCAACATGAAAATTTTCCTCTAAAACAATAAATCCTATTCATAGAATCACATTATCAATAATTTATGAATAGAGTAAAACTCTCAGCAAGCTGCAGGTAAATGTTAACATTTAGCTGGTAAAGAATAATTATTGCCCTGTCAATAAATGATTTCTAATAGATTGTTATTACCAGAGGAAAACAGAAACGGCTTCATGAGGTCAGAGGTCAAACTGATGAAGAAAGAGGATGGATGCTCTCTGCTAAAATATTCCTGCATCTTCCATCATCTTCCAGCAAACAGTTGAGATAAAGTTGGTTCTGGTTTCACCACCATTTACCTGCTGATTACCTGCCAGTGAAAGTTTCATTAAAAGTTTGTTAATCTGCAGCTCATGAGACGGAACCAGCCGAGGAGATGAAAAGTTCAAACTCAACATTGTCTGGTACAGAAGCTCTAGTTGGGTAACCCAGAGATCACTGAGTCTTCTTAAAGACTCAGTGGGGTGTGAGTGTGTGTGGCACGGTTGTTTGTCCTGTTTGTTTCTATGTTGCCCTGCGACAGTCTGGCAACTAGTCCAGGTGACCTGCCTCTCGCCCAGAACACAGCTGGAGAGGCTATGGATAATATAGGAAACAGCGCCCCCTTCACTTCCGGACTGGAATGGTCCATAAGGTCTGAGGCTGACAGCGGTCTGTCCCGCCCCGTCCTGTTGCTGCAGCAGGTTCATCTCGACCGGTTGGATTAAAGAAGCCCAACCCTGTGCTGACTGTAGTACCTGCAGCCTCCTGTAGGGGCCCAGGTGATGGAGGCTCACCTGTGGAGCGCCGTAGACGTAGAGCACCAGCGGCTCGTTCTCCGGGATGACGAACCACGCCTTCTGCCAGCCCCGCCCCCCGCCCTTCTCCATGTGGTGAAGAAAACTGCAAATCACACTGTTCTCTGCGGCCAGCGATGCCTGTTTCTATGGTAACAGAGGGGAGACGTCAGTCAGGCCGACAATGCGTCGGACTGTGGTGATGTCACAGTGATGTCACAGTGATGTCACAGTGATGTCACGCATACCTCCAGGATGGAGCGCCTCCTATGGCTGCTGCTGCTCATCGCCCCGGACGACGGCGACGCCCCCACCAGCATCACGTAGCAGTCCACGCAGACGCGGTTGGTCCGGTTGTTGTCGTACGACAAGCGAGCGCGAAACTCCGAGCATTTGCCACAAACCACCTGGAAGATGGAGGACAGATGGTGAGAGAAGGAGCCGGGCGGAGCCGGGCGGAACCGGGCGGAACCGGGCGGAACCGGCCGGAGGACATACATGTCCGCAGGCTTTGCAGTGGTGGCGTCTCTTGGTGATGGAGTTGAACGGCTCCTGGCACTTCATGCACAGAGTCACTTCCTTCTCCCGGATCGGAGTTGGCGCTCGTTTTCCCAACTCCACGCAGCTCTGAGGTAAAGCAAAACGACTCGTTAGCGTTTCGACACCCCGCAGTACCAGAGCAGAGCACCAGGGGCGCTGTTACCGGGGAGTGGGGCGGCGTGGACTCGTCGTCTCGCAGAGAACAGGTGAGGTGTCTGAAGCTCTCCATGGTCTGTTCATGGCGCTGGATGGTGGCCTGGATGGCCTGCATGAAACATGCAAGTCTATCTCAATAACGTTCTAAAAGTTTAATCTAAAATAGTTCAAGCAGTTTATTGTTGAAACAAGTTTCAACAATAAACTTTAGGTTTAGCTTTAGGTTTTGGAACCGGCTGATGTTTGAGACTGGACCAGCCACAACCGACAGAACCTTTGGTGTTCAGGAAGAGCAGGAACACACCTGGATCCAGTCCTTTTTCTCTTCCTCCGTTCTGCAGAAACACAAACACACAGCGAGCCTCAGAGGAACCGCAGTGGTTCTGAAGCAGTTCTGAAGCGGTTCTGCCTCCCAGGTCTGGGCGGGTCCACCTACCTGGCCTGCAGCTCCAGAGATCTCTGTTTTCCAGACACCAGGAAGGTTCTGCTGGGAACAGCAACACTACTGGTCTCTTTAAGCTATGGACACAAACACTCTGTTAGTTCAACCAGAACCAGAACCAGAACCAGGGAGGTTCAAAGTGTGGTTTGGGGGCCATTACAGTCTCACCTCCATGCCGTCCACATCGATGCGAGCGCGGACGCTGTACTTCTGACCAATCAGGCGCAGCTTGGGGACGCAGTACAGCAGCCGGTCGTTGAACTGAGGAGAAAAAAGGGAGCTGTTAGAACCCGGGCGCCGGACCGGCTGAGGGTCCAACAGAACCAGCCCATACCAGGATCAGGTATCGGTCCTGCGTAGTTCCATTCTTATTGGACAGCTTGAGGATGTGTCCCTCCTTGATGAGTTCATTGGTCGGGTTGACGATGTCTTCCTCTCCACCCAGAAGCTCATAAACCTTCAGCAGCTTCCTCATTCGCTCCTGAAGGACAGACAAGAACCGGAAAACACTAGAACCTTACAGAACCTTACAGAACCTTACAGAACCTTACAGAACCTTACAGAACCGACTGAACGTTAGACCCCAGAACCCTGAAGAAACAGTATAACAGGAGCAGAAGATAACGGTTTAACTGCAGGGGGGCTTTGTTTCCCGTCAGCCTCGGAGGTTTTCCCACCGCCTCTGTCTCACCTCGCAGCTAAACGCAGCCTGAACATCACGGCTCCACCTGCAGTCAGGACCACACGTCCTCCAGGCCTCACTGCCCGAGCTTCTGGGAGATCCAGAAAGCTAAAATTGATCCTGGACAAACAAACTTCATCTGCAAAAAGATTTTATGTGCAGCTTTCCTGAAGAAACCAGAATCCCTCAGATCCCTGATGACACGGCTCCGAGTCAAGCGCTTTGGGCCAATAGAGGAGAAAGACCACAAGCCATTTCTCCTGCTGGCGTTAGGCTGGCGCGTTTCCTTTGGTTGCATTTACCCCGAATGCCCTGCACTATAGTCAACTTCCTGCTTTTGGAGTGGTCTCCAGCCGGCTTGGCGTTCACATGCATTCAGACCAAACCAGAGTTCACTTTAACCAAACCCAGACCGAGGTTTGAGGGCTAGAGGTCAGAGTTCGCTTAGCATTTACACCTCACCAACTGAACTGGACTTCTAGACAAACTGACTGGATCAGAGGGAACAGAACCTTCAAGCCTCGGATCACCACTCCTGGTTCTGTCCTAGTTCTCCAGGAGACATGAAGACGTTTCAGGAAAAACTTCATCCGCTTGTTGGTCCTCAGAGGCCAACGTGTTGATGGACTCTGCAGGATATGAAGGCCGGCTTGAGGAAGTCCCCAAGGTCCTCCATCCTCCACAACGGGCCAGAACCAGTCCAGGTCTGCAGTCTCCACACACCAAGCAGACTGGGATGGTTCTCCAGCCAAAAGTTTTTTCATCCCTTAGTCTAACTTCAGGAGCCACAGAAGGTTCCAATGATCACCTAAAACCCCCGACTGGTTCAGGAGCCCTAGCGGGGTCCGTCATCACCAGTAGGGTTTCTGGTTGCACAGTCCCCAAAACCTGCTTGAATCTGAACATGTTCTGATTCCAGGCTCCAGGTTCATTCCCAGTTCTCAATCTGACAGAAAGTTCTGGTTTTGTCCCATCCGGTCTTACCATCTTCCTAATGGCGGCATTGGAGTGTTCTGCAGCCGTGGCGATCAGCTCCAGAGACTCTGCAGAGACACACAGACAAACACATGAGACGTTCAAGGACATCCAGTGTGTTTGGCTTCCTGCTGTGGTTCCTTAGGTTGTTTGGCGTCGTACTCTGGGCGTCCCGGTGGTCCGGGGCGTCCTCCGGGAGGCGGTTCAGGTAATCCTTGAGCAGCAGCTCGTAGCGGGGTATCCTCTGCACCGGCTCCAGCATGTGGTGCTGCAGCGTCAGGTTCCCACAGCGCTCCTCCCTCTGCCAAGCACAAAACCGGCATGAGGCAGGGACCAGGTGGGACCAGGGCCTGGTCCCACCTGGTCCTGGTCCTACCTGGATCTCCTGGATGATGGCCTTGAACGGAGCGGACCTCTCCATCCACATGTTCACCAGCTCCATGGCTCGGTCAAAATTCTTCACATACTCTCCGTACATCTTAAGGAAGGGAGCCAGCTTCTGCAGGATGTCGCCGATCCGCGGGTTGGAGTCCCTGCAGGCAGAACCAGAACCAGTGCAGAACCTCAGTGCTCATCTATTCACCTCTATGCAGATGATACAATTCTTACATTTGTACCATCCTCAGTAGGAGCAGCAACACTTCAGTAAATCCAAAATCCAAAGAAATGAGAATCACTAGAAAAAGTTATTGATAATCATTGTCTGTATTTCCATTACTAATGTGAGCAAATCTTTGTTCTGCTAATGCCAAAAAAGATCATTTTGAAATTACAGTGTTCCCATTAAATAACAAATTAATAAGTTTGTTTGTGTGATAAATCATTTAAAATCCTGGCAGTAATTGATGTAAACATTAGATTTATTCATAACTCGGAGTCAACGCTCATCATCTGTCAGCTAATCAGAAGAGACTCTGGCGACTGATTCAAGCCCCGCCTACTCAGCTCCATCTGCGGCGTTTATGGGAAACTGTTGTCGGCCATTTTCCAGAACAGTTATGGATTCAAGACGCGGGAGGAGCCAGAAAAAGCAAAGCATCATCCGCTGCCCCCTTCCTGTCGTCTTATTCAGCGTTTCTGCCAGTAGCAACATCCGGCGGCTGATCACATGACTGATAATGTGAATAAAATGTTTCCATACAGTTTTGTGAAATACATCAATATCAATCTGGTCGACAACACACCTCAACCCAGCTCAAAAATATTTGATAACATTTTTTTTTCAAAATGACCATATTTCCATGAAACAAATTTATTTTTACAACTTCAATTTGTGCAATATTATGCAAAATGGAAACGCAGTCGGAGATGCTAATGTTGCTTTTGACTATTAAGCTCAATCAGTCGCTAAGGTCATTGATAATTTGTTATGAATGAAGGTTAAATGAAGGTTAAATGAAGGTTAAATGAAGGTTAAATGAATGTCAAACACGCTCACCACTCCTCCATGCGTTTCTGCAGCGCCGGCAGCAGGAACTGCTGGTGGAAGCAGTAGATGGAGCAAATGTTGGAGAAGATTCCCTGAACCACGTCACAGGGGAACGAGGAGCGGCAGCGCGCCTCCTCAAGCAGGCGGGCGCAGAACACCTGCAGAACAGGCAGCCAATCAGAGCCTGGGGGCGGGGCCTTCTGCCCTGCTGTTGGCCGCAGTACTCACCTGGTCCAACAGGTGGAGCTTGGACACGTAGGCGGTCTCGGTGAGGAGAAGCTCATTGGCGATGTTGAAAACCCGCTGATGGACGGACAGCTGGACACAAACAGAACCAGTGAGACCGTTTGAGGTTCCGATCCGTCTCAGTACCGGACACAGAACCAGGGGATTCTGATGAGGTTGTGGATTTATCTGTCTCAGATCATCTGTAGAAAATTCTCCTCCACCTTCTAATTCTAACTAGAAACAACCAATCAGAGCCGGGAGGCGGGTCTAAGCGCTGTCAGTCACCCTCTTCATGGTGATGCTCAGCCCCCGTTGCTCTCTGCTACGCGTCCTAGCATAGCCTGCTGTGAATCCGAGGCTAGTTAGCATGGCCACCAATGATGGCTGATGAACGCTTTTCCTGTTGCTTCTCTGCCATTAGAACATCGAGCAGCGAGTACATAAAGGTGATTGACAGCATTAAGACCCGGCTCCCAGATCTGATTGGTTGTTTTGCAGCTCAGGGAGGTGGAGATCAATCACATCACGCTGACAATTACAGACCGCAGCTTTAAACCTGAACGTGTTTTTCACATCAGCCAGTGTATGACCAACCTGCTCTCTGATTGGTCGGTTTGTGTCTCACCTCCAGGGATTCCTGGCGGTCCGGTTTGGGCGGGGCCAAAACCAGAGTTAGCTCCGCCTCCTCCTCCAGGTCGCTGTCCCCTTCCTCAGAGAAGTCCCTCCTCCTCGCCCCCGCCCGAGCCTCCTCCCCCTCTCCCACCTCCCCAGCGGTGGACGAGGAGCTGGAGAGGCGGGGCAACAGGGCGGGGCTGCAGGTATAGGCCACGCCCACGTCGTCCACGCCGACGAAGCAGAGCTCCTCGCTGTGCGACGGCGAGCTGATGCTGTCAATGCCGCTGTCCCGATTGGCCAACTTCCCGTCCGTCTGCGAAGAGGGGAGGGACAGGCACTCGGAGGGCAGCTCTGATTGGTCCGGAGGCTGCTGCTCCTCCGTGTCCATGGTGACCGCCTCGTCCTCCAGCGGTTTGTCTGAGGCGCTGTAGCCCGACTCCATGGACAGACGCTTGTGATGGACGTCGTCCCGGCAGGCCGCCGCTAGCTCTTCATCCTCCTCATCATCTTCATCACATAGGTCAGCCCCTTGCGTGATGTCATCCTTCTCTGTGAAGTCACTGGGTGGCTCCGCCCCCCCGGGTTGGGGGGGGACAGGCGAGGCAGAGGATGGAGGTGATGAAGACCGGGGGGAGGCAGGGTCCAGTGGGCGGGGGCACAGCGCCCCCCCGGTGATGTCCGGCACCACGATGATCTGCTCGCTGCAATACAGACAACCAATCAGCAACCAGGAGCAGCGATGACACCACCCCCACTCCGACCAATCACAGCTTACCGCTCAAACTTCTCGATGAGCGACAGGACGCAGGTGGGGAGGCGGTGCCGTCGGCCCGGCTGGGGGGGGTCCAGCCCCCCGGGGGTCAGCAGGGAGGGGCCTGCAGGGGGGCGGCGGTGGGAGGGATTTCTCCGGGACTCGGGGGCGTGGCCTCATGACTCCTGCTTGCTGCTGCAGGTGGGGGGGCTTTGGGGGAACTAAAGGAAAGGGGTGGAGCCACAGAGTGGGTTTGAATGAAATGCACAAAACTTCTACAATCAATTTGACCTTTAAAAGCGTTTTACACAAGAGACACATTTCTGAACCCTGACATGCATCAAACCTGTAACCTCCAAGTTACAAGTCAACTAATCTAGACAGCAGCAACTGAACCGCTAAACGTACCCTGAGGTTTGGGCCCCGGCAGTGGCGGACGGGTCCGGTTTGGCGCCGTTACCGTGGTTACTGGCAGCTCTGGTGGCCCCGTGTCATTCACGGATCCGCCGCTCTCCGCCGGCTCTGCCCCTCCCCTCCGACCCCGGGTCCGAGTCGGGCTGCAGGGGAGCGTCAGCGTCCAGCGCCCCCTGGTGGCCACATGGAGAGCAGGACGGCTCCAGAGAGAGGCTCTTAGCCAGCAGGGTGGGGCTGGTGGAGGAGGCGGGGCCTGTTGGGCAGGACACATGTCACACACCCACTGTCTTTCAAAATAAGAGCCAAATAAGGAAAAAAATGCTTCTTTGCAAGAGCGGTGACAGAAATGTGTTCTGGAACCTTCGTACTTGTTGGTTTCTGATACAGCCGTGAATGTGACGCACAGCTACGTCGCTAACAGCAGCGATGGAAGCAACTTCTCTGATCCTAAACAACGTGACTGAAAAAGGCTTTTGTTCTGTTTGAGTTGTGCTAAAAGCAGTTAGCTTATCAACAAAGCTACGCTAGCATAAAATAGCACCTGGCTGCTAAACCTGTAGCAGCTAACACACAGCCCAGACCTGTAAAGATGCTCCATGATTGAGCAGGACTTCCTGAAACAATCTGATGGTTTCACATGAAAACAGTTTTAATCTGTTGAAGAGCAGAACATCAGAGGTCTCATAATTTAGGGCTAGTAGCATGTTAGCTTAGGTTGTATTGAATTCAGAATGTTGCTTATTTAGTCGATAAAGTGTGATTAATGGATTACAGACCCTGAAATGAACTCCGTTTATCGGGTTCCTCCACTGACAGAATCACACCATTTGGACCCTTTGGTTCTGCAGGTTCTGGTCCAGAGCAGAACCCACTCCTCATCTTCATCACCTCTCATCTACGATGTTCTCACTGTCCTGAAGGGGGCAGTAAAGAGCTTTATGGTTCAGATTGATGGCGGTGCTCGGCCTCTGGTCCAAACGGGCCAGAAGTTCAGAAAATTATCTCCATTATTTCAAGAGCCGTTCTAGTTTTCCAGGAACAATCTGGAAAAGGATTAAAAACAGCAAAAGAATCTTCTGGGAAAAAAGTGATAAAACCGAGTGAGCGGTTCTACAGCGGTTCTAGAGGTTCTGATGGTTCTAATGGTTGCCAGCAGAACAGGAGGCTGTGACCCGGTACCAGTCCAATTGGTTCAGGCAGTTACAGCAACAGCAGCTGAAAGAAATTCATGAGGTGAAAATGTGTCCAGTCATTGAGAGCAGCAACATCTCAGCAGCTTCCTGCAGCTTAATACCAGCAGAGCAGCCAGACAGGAAGTGTGTGTGTGTGTGTGTGTGTGTGTGTGTGTGTGTGTGTGTGTGTGTGTGTGTGTGTGTGTGTGAACTTGTTAGGAGGTCATGGGAAAGCCTGAGTGGGCTGATGTGGACCAGATGTTCTGCTGATGGAAAACTGCTGGCCAAACTACACTACCCACAATCCTCCAACACCACTTCCTGTTGGTCAGAAAGAGGCTTGAGTTCTCCTAAGATTACTGGGAAGTTCTAATGATTCTGATTCACTGAAGACGTTTTAAATTGTTCTGAATCTGAAGTGAATCAGAACGTTGATGGTTTATTCATCCAGTTGTCACCAACTGCAGCTTGTTCTGCAGACAGACTGAATCAAGATGGCGCCACCCACATGGTGTTTGATGGTCCAACTTGACAAGTTCACTGTCGTCACACCTTTACTTGGTTCTGGATCTAGTTCTGTTAGTCTGCCGCCATTTTCAGCCCCCACCTGTCACCCAGGTAACTCTGTTTGTTCTGGTCCAGATAACCGTCTTCAGACATCAGATGGTCCCAGAAGCTCCAGGACCTGCTCCTGACAGGAAAGGTGTCCCTCTCTATTTGGTTTGTTTTAAGGTTCTGTTTCTGACTGCCTTCCTGTTGGTGGATCTGCTCCATTCTCTGAACTTGTCCCTGCTGGTTCTGGACCTTGGAGCTGTTCTCGGACCACTGGCAGAAGAAAAGACTTTAATCAGACTCGGTCACTGACAGGCCCCCACAGCACAGGACATAACTCAGATCTGGTTTTACCTTTTGGACCCAATAAGTCATCTTGTCATATTTCTTCTATTCCCTCCTGATGGTCGACCCGGTTTACTGGAACCAGAACATCTGCTCCACCTCCAGCTGCTGTGGTTCTGACCCAAACCAGCCTGTTTTCCTCCTGGCCTGTGGGGGCGCTGCACCAACAACCACTGCAGGAAACGACACTAAAACCTCTGAAGACACTGAGAGCAACTTCCTGTTTCACCAGATGAAACAAGATGGAGGCGTCAGAGTTTAGTGATTTCTCTTTAGTCTTTGGCTGAAGACCAGGAGCCATTTTTGCTGCTAGCGCTAGGCTAGCATGTTAGCTTTGGTTACCCAGAATGCCCTGCGCTGTAGTCCACTTCCTGCTTTTGGAGCGTCTTTGGTCCGCTTGGTGTTCACATTCAAACTGAACCCAGACTGAGGTTTGGAGGAGCAGAGGTCAGAGGTCAATGAGTGTTGACACCATTCTGCAGGTTCCCGAAATCAACTGACTGGACTTTGTAGGCTGGATTATGTCAACTGAACAGGACTGCTGGGAATGCAGGCATTAACTATAATCCAGTTTCTAAGTGACCTTTTATATCAAACGGTTTTCAGTCGGCTGTTTGAATCATCTCCAGATTTCTTCCAGATCTTTGTGGATCGTTTAGTCTGGTTGAAAGAACTAAAACAGCTCTTAGTTTAGTTCCTGGATCCAAGTTCAGCCTTTCAGACGCTAGATTTTCACATCCTGTCAGCTTCCAGTCGTGTTCCTCCTCTCCTGTATCAGTCCTGGGGTTCCCCAAGGCTCTACCTGCGGTCCGCTGTTGATCCCTGAGACGAAGAGGAAAACACAAACTACCCTCTACTGAGAACAGTTAGCAGGTTGGCACTTCATTGCTGTCCTGAACCTTTAGTGTTTTCAGTGGTTTGGAACCAAACCAAGTTCTGGTCCAAAGAAACACAGAGAGAATCAACCAATCAGAGCCAGAGCTGACCAATCAGGAACCAAACCGGCAACCAGGAGCAGAGGCAACAGGAACCTGGATCTGATGCAATCACAGAAAGTTCTCAGGGATTTCACATGTGAAAACCAAGAAAAACATTTCACACCAATGTTCACATGTGAATGATGTGCATCACATGAAGAAGCGCATCTCTCTCTCTCTGTGTGGATTTGGAAAGATTGGTGGTAAAAACTCATGTGGACTCATATTTATCACGTGATTTATGTGAAAATTAATAAAACTATAAAATAAAAATGAGAACATGTGAATCTCTGGGTCCACATGTGTTCTCAGCCTCTTTCATGTGAATCACATCCTTCATGTTTTAAAAAATGATTTTCACATGTGAATTCCCTGCCGGTCCAGAACCTTTTCCTGGTTCTGTTCCTGCTGAATGGACGGCTCTGCTCAGTAGAACCTGCAGAACCCGACAGGTTCCACTGATGTACCTGATTCTGGTTCCGGTAGCACTGAAATGGATTTTCACATTTTCAGAACCACCAGGCCGTTATTGGACCGGGCCTAGGCTCGGTTCTGCTGCGAGGCCCAATCAGAAGGGTGTCTCTCTCTGCTGGTTTTGATGCCCACGCACGCGCACACATCGCGTCAGGACGCGCGTGTTCACAGAAACACGATCGATGAGCCGCGCTCGGCTCGGCTCGGCTCGGCTCGGCTGGGCTCGGTTCGGTCCGGGTCCAAACAGACAGCAGCTCATCGATCACCGGTCGGATCGATCCCACCCATCAGCAGCGGGGTCACGTGACTGCGGCGGGGCCGCTTTCAGGTCGGTGTCACATCTGGCGCGCGGCCGCCAGTAGCCCACTTCCACTGCGGGATGTCGGTCAGTGTGTGCGCGTGCGCGGCGGGATTATTCCACACACAGAGAGGAAAATAGGACGCGAGCACGCGCCTCCTGCAGGGTGTGTGCGCGCGGTGCGGGTCGGATGCGGCTGGCGGACTCACCTCTGCTCAGGCTGCTTCGGTCCATGTACATCGCGCAGCAGAAAACGAATCCGGTCATTAAAGAGACGTCGGTGCGCGGGGAGAGCGGCTCCCGCGGTCCACAGCAGAACAAACACACACACACACACACACACACACACACACACACGGCCCGGTTCGGCCGGTCCGGACCCGCGGGCTGCCGTTCAGGACGGATCAGGCGGTGGATCCGCGCGGCTCGGTTCTGCCCGGTGCGCGTGCGGCGGCGGCGCGGAGGGAGGGGGCGGGGACGCGCTCCCTCTCTTCCCCTCTCCTCTTTGGTTTCCATGACAACAAATTAAAAGGAAAGGTGACAGGTGATCACGTGGCGCCGAGCAGTCAACAGAACCATTTCTATCAAACATCAGCAACCAGAACCACTGACGGTTCGGTTCCGGTTCCAGGTTTACCCTCCAAGGCTCGGTTCTGCTGTGCGCAGTCCGTCATCTGCAGTAAACCGAACCAGAACCTCTGACACAACCAGAAGGGGGCGCACTGGACCCACCTCTTCACCTCATACAGCTGGGCAGAGCCTCCCCTGACCTTGACCTCCTCGACTGACCGAGAACAGAACCAAAGCAGAACTCAATGTTAAATGTTTATTTTGAAACTGTGAGATTTATAAGTGAATAACTTTTGAAAAGTGAAGCCACTTTTGATCTCTTCTGCCAGATGAAATCATCCGAATGATGGCTGCTGGTTCCTGCAACAGGAATGCAGATA